GTGTGTTTTGTACATCCTTTATTGCAGAATAATGCCCACACCTTATAAAATAAATGAAGTTGTTCACAATAAGTAAAAAAAGTTAAAGGTGGGAACTAAGTAAAATGAAAGATTTTATGTTCATTACCGTATACAAGCCCGATCCATAATGGTACGCGACTTGAGAACGATATCAATAGAGACGGATTCAATCCATTTCGTATCATATGCGTATAGCTTAACTTTGTTGACAGCACTGAAAGAAGTTTTGAAAATTTGCTCAATTTCCTTTAGAGTTCCATGTAAAGACTGGGGTGACTGGGGTAGAACAGAACGAAGGATAATTAGGTACATATTTTGTTTGCTATCGGATAATCCTGAGTCTAAATATTGAAAAGATTTGTTGATTCATTTTTTTATACTAACGATCAAAGATACTTGTAACATCTAGTATTTATAGATACCTGAGAGTGTTTTTTCAATAATCTGCCTAGATTCTTTGATGAATGATCCTAATAAATCCAGTTTTAATGGCCATTTTTCAAAAGAGTATTGTAGCGACCGATGCATCATTTTATTTTTTGGATCACTCGGATTATTTGAATAAAGTTTAGTTATATATTTCTCAAATCGTCCAACATATGAAATTGGAATGAAAGCTGCGTTTATCACCGAGCAAATTTTCATCATAAGCCGAATGGTACATTTAAACTTCTAGTGAATTTCTATAGGGTGGTGAAGCATGCCATTTTCAGAGATGATTCCTAGTCATAAATATTTATGACTTTAGTATACGTAATAAAATAAAAATTTATTGTTTCTTTACATGTTTCAACAATATTGGTAAAGTATCTGGATCTGATTTTTGTAAATTTATTTTTATCTACAGCACGGAAAAGGTGTGATTTTTATAATAAGTTATAATATCAAAATTACTTATTAAATTTTACGTGAATTTAAAATTTAAATTGTTCATAACTTTTTATCTACCGAGTCAACTTTATCAAACTTACTACCATTAGAATCACAAAAATTAGCCCTTTAACTTTATTTAGAAGCTTACAAGATGCTAACTTAGTAAAATATTGTAATAATTTACTATTAGAATTCTCATTTATTCATGAATTACCAACTAATTTAATACTGTAATATACTGTAATTGTTTTATTACAATAAATAAATACAGTAATATAATATCAAAGTTATTTAATTTTTATTATTAATATCAAAAAAATATAATTATTTTATGTATAAAAGAACAATTTAGTAAATAAAAAATACAGTATTTAGTTAATTTTTAACAATAATTGTTTTTGAGCAAAAATTCTATATATTTTTATTATTAAAATAAATATTTTTAATAAAAAAAATATTAAAATTAATTAAATATAATACTTTTTATACGTTTCTAAAAGAAAAATTACTGTAATAAATAAAGATATATAACAATAAATTTATTTAGATTAAAAAAATATTTTTTTAGCAAAAATTCTATTTTATTATTAAAATAAATACAGTATTTTTAATAAAAAAATATATTAAAGTTAATTAAATATAATACTTTTTTATTTATAATTTTTAATTTTTTTTTATATTTTACAAATTTTAAATATTATTTAAATATGGTTTTTTATATACTGTATATATACTGTAAATAACAAAATATTAAAACAATTTTTAGCTAATCTATTATACTGTATTGATAGGTATATACTGTATTATTATTATAAAATTATATTATACAGTTAACCCCCTCTATAATCAATTACTTAATACTTTTTTAAAAAATGTGTTTATAAAGAGGTTGTGCTTATACAGAGGTAGTTTTTATATGTTTAACAGTAGTTTGTTTTTGAGTATAGAATATGATAAAGAGGGGTTTTTATATGATATAATTATAGAAGAGATAACTGTAGAGAGGGATAACTATATAAAAATTAGCTATTTTGAACCAATTTAAGTTAGAATTAGAGTAAAAATTAGAGTTTAAATTAATTCAAATAGTTAGTTTTTATATATATATTATAATTTTATAATAATTTTATATGCCTACTTATATTATAAAAGATTTTAATTTTTTATATAACAAAAATTAATACTAGATTAAAAGTAAACAAAATTTATATTAAAACTTAACAAAAAAATTTTTTTATTAAAATTAGAAAAATAATTTTTATAAATAAAATTTTATTGTACTAATTTTAAAAAAAATTATTTTTTGTTATACAAAATTAATTTGCATATTAAATTATAAAATATAAATATAAAATATAAATATAGCAAAACTATTTGTATCTCTTATTTTTGCTATTTATACTTCCACTCATGTAAAAAATGATTTAACTAATTATTATACTGTATAATATAAAAATACAATAATTATAATTAATTTATAATGATAAGCATTGTTATTAATACCTTTTATTTTTGCTATTTGTACCCTATTCTATATAAAGTCAATAAAATTTTTTCTAAATACTGTAAAAGTTTTTTTTAACTAAGCTTAAATATCTTAGCAATTATTTATCAAATTTAATAAATTTTTTAATTCTATATAATTTCAAAATTAAAATAAAAAAATTTAGCAGATTAGATTAATTAGTTGTTAAGATATTTTAATTTAAAAATTAAAAAAAAATTTACTAAAAACAATTTGTCTTTTCTATTAACTCCACCTCAAATATTGTTTTGCACTGCAACTATATCACGCGACAATTAGTTAAATAATTTTTTTTACATATATAGATAGGGATATGAATAGCAATTTTTTATAAATATTGCAAAATAAAATATCTAATTAAATTCTTATTTAGTATTTATACAGTATTTTTATTATAGTAAAATTTATTTTTAAATTATATATTATCTTTATTTTTTTAAAAAAAATTTAAAACTTACTAGTAAAATTATTAAATACTGTATGCTATTTTTTTTGTTAATTGTTTTAGTAAAAGTTTTCGTATATTAAATAAAAATCTTTAGCACTTTAAAAAGCTTTATATTCAATCTTAATATAAACGCTAACTCTAATTCTAAAGTTGATTTTGGCTTTAAAATTTGAGATAAAATTTTTTATAGGTTTTACACAAGTAAAGTATAATTAAAAATATATACATAGTGATAATTTTTTACCTTAGATAAATTTTTATTAATTTCTTGAAGAAATAAAATTTAACCGAAGTTTAAAATTTTAAAATTTATAAACTAGACAAATTATATTTTTTAAAAAAATTTTATTATATATACATACTATATATATATAAAAAGAATTATTAGTTAAAATATTAAAAACATTGTAAACAATAACTGCTACGTACGTATATTACTATATGTGCTTAAAGTTTGGTTAGTTTTTAATACGTATAAAAGTTAAACTTATTATATTTAGTACGGATACGTATGCAAATATATACATAGATAGATCTATATATATATATATATATT